TCCCAGAGCTAATTGGAGCCAGAAGTGAGCCAACCTTGACTCCAATCAGTGTGAGGATATTGGATGTGTTGCTGACAGCTGTCCTGCCCTTAAAAAACACACACCTGTTTTGGGTTTACTGGTTTCAAGAAGCACTGTCCGATGTGAACCATGCCTCGCAGAAAAGAGCTCTCAGAAGACCTACAATCAAGAATTGTTGACTTGCATAAAGCTGGAAAGGGTTACAAAAGTATCTCCAAAAGCCTTGATGTTCATGTGTCCACGGTAAGACAGACTGTCTACAAATGGAGAAAGTTTAGCACTGTTGCTACTCTCCCTAGGCGGGGTCATCCTGTAAAAATGACTGCAAGAGCACAGCGCAGAATGCTGCATGAGGTAAAGAAGAATCCCAGAGTGTTAGCTAAATACCTACAGAAATCTCTGGCACATGCTAACATTTTTGTTGACACATCTACAAAAAGGAAAACATTAAACAAGAATGGAGTACATGGGAGGACACCACGGAGGAAGCCATTGCTGTCCAAAAAGAAAATTGCAGCACATTTGAAGTTTGAAAAAGAGCACCTGGATGTTCCACAGCACTACTGGCAAAATATACTGTGAACAGATGAAACCAAGATTGAGTTGTTTGGGAAGAACACACAACACTATGTGTGGAGAAAAAAAGGCACAGCACACCAACATCAAAACCTCATCCCCACTGTAAAACATGGCGGAGGGAGCATCATGGTTTGGGGCTGCTTTGCTGCCTCAAGGCCTGGATGGATTGTTGTCATTGATGGGAAAATGAATTCCAGAGTTTATCAAGACATTTTGCAGGAAAACGTACGACCATCTGTCCGCCAACTGAAGCTCCGCAGAGGATGGGTGATGCAACAGGACAATGACCCAAAGCATACAAGTAATTCAACAAAACAATGGCTGCAACAGCACAAGATACGCCTTCTGGAGTGGCCCAGTCAGAGTCCTGACCTCAACCCGATTTAAATGCTGTGGCATGACCTTAAGAGAGCGATTCACACCAGACATCCCAAGAATATTGCTACACTGAAACAGTTTTGTGAAGAGGAGTGGTCCAAAATTACTCCAGATCGTTTTGCAGGTCTGATCTGCAACTACAGGAAACGTTTGGTTGAGGTTATTGCTGTCAAAGGAGGGTCAACCAGTTATTAAGTCCAAAGTTTCACATACGTTTTCCTCCCTGCACTGTGAATGTTTACATGTTATGTGCAATTAAACCATGGCAACATCTAATGTTTGTGTAGTATTATGTTCAGCAGACTGTGTTCTTCTATTGTTGTGACTTAGATGACGTTCAGAGCACATTTTATGCCCAATTTATGCAAAACTCCACGTAATCCCAAGGGGTTCACATACTTTTTCTTGCAACTGTACATGTGTGTATATATGTGTGTGTGTGTGTGTGTGTGTGTGTGTGTGTGTGTGTGTGTGTGTGTATGTGTGTATATATACACACACACACACACACACACACACACACACAGTTGTGTTCAAAATAATAGCAGTCAGACATCACTAACCTGATCAATCACTGTTTTTGGTAGAAATGATCTACATGGCAGAATGGTATGAATGGTAGAAATTCTACATGGCAAATAATTTACTAGCAGGTGTAGTAGAGTAATAGAAATCCAACAGTCATGACATGCATGCTGCTGATTCTGTGTAATTGAATCACTAATTGAAAGGGGCATGTTCAAAATAATAGCAGTGTGAAGTTCTATTAGTGAGGTCATTCATTCTTTGAAAAAAAGGTGGCAATTATTGCCATTATTTAAGGAAGGAAGGCAGCAAATGTTGTACATGCTGGTTACAGTGCATTTCTCTCTGAAATTCTGAGGAAAATGGGTCGTTCCAGACATTGTTCAGAAGAACAGCGTACCTTGATTAAAAAGTTGATTGGAGAGGGGAAAACATATACAATGGAGATCGAAAGTTTGGGCACCCCAGCTAAAAATTTGTAATAATGTGCATAAAGAAGCCAAGGAAAGATGGAAAAAATCTCCAAAAGGCATCAAATTTCAGATTAGACATTCTTATAATATGTCAACAAAAGTTAGATTTTATTTCCATCATTTACATTTTCAAAATAACAGAAAACAAAAAAATGGCGTCTGCAAAAGTTTGGGCACCCTGCAGAATTTATAGCATGCACTGCCCCCTTTGCCAAGTTGAGACCTGCCAGTGTCATGGATTGTTCTCAATCATCATCTGGGCAGACCAGGTGATGTCAATCTCAAAGGTTTTAAATGCTCAGAGACTCATCTGACCTTGCCCCAACAATCAGCACCATGGGTTCTTCTAAGCAGTTGTCTAGAAAACTGAAACTGAAAATAGTTGACGCTCACAAAGCTGGAGAAGGCTATAAGAAGATAGCAAAGCATTTTCAGATGTCAATATCCTCTGTTCAGAATGTAATTAAGAAATGGCAGTCATCAGGAACAGTGGAAGTTAAAGCAAGACCAAGACCAAGAAAAATATCAGACAGAACAGCTCGCAGGATTGTGAGAAAAACAATTCAAAACCCACGTTTGACTGCACAATCCCTCCAGAAAGATCTGGCAGACACTGGAGTTGTGGTACACTATTCCACTATAAAGAGATACTTGTACAAATATGGTCTTCATGGAAGAGTCATCAGAAGAAAACCTCTTCTACGTCCTCACCACAAAAATCATCGTTTGAACTTTGCAAATGAACATATAGACAAGCCTGATGCATTTTGGAAACAAGTTCTGTGGACCGATGAGGTTAAAATTGAACTTTTTTGCCGGAATGAGCAAAGGTACGTTTGGAGAAGAAGGGGCACAGAATTTAATGAAAAGAACCTCTGTCCAACTGTTAAGCATGGGGTTGGATCAATCATGCTTTGGGGTTGTGTTGCAGTCAGTGGCACAGGGAACATCTCACGAGTAGAAGGAAAAATGGATTCAATAAAATTTCAGCAAATTTTGGATGGTAACTTGATGCCATCTGTGAAAAAGCTGAAGTTAAAGAGAGGATGGCTTCTACAAATGGATAATGATCCTAAAAACACCTCGAAATCCACGGGGGATTACATCAAGAGGCGTAAACTGAAGGTTTTGTCATGGCCTTCACAATCTCCTGACCTCAACATAATTGAAAATCTATGGATAGACCTTAAAAGAGCAGTGCGTGACAGACAGCCCAGAAATCTCAAAGAACTGGAAGACTTTTGTAAGGAAGAATGGGCAAAGATACCTCAAACAAGAATTGAAAGACTCTTGGCTGGCTACAAAAAGCGTTTACAAGCTGTGATACTTGCCAAAGGGGGCAGTACAAGATATTAACTCTGCAGGGTGCCCAAACTTTTGCAGACTCCATTTTTTTTGTTTTCTATTATTTTGAAAGTGTGAATGATGTAAATAAAAAATTTAACTTTTGTTGACATAATATAAGAATGTCTAATCTGTAATTTGATGCCTTTTGGAGATTTTTCCATCTTTCTTTGGCTTCTTTATGCACATTAATACAAATTTTTATGCAACCAAAACCTGAAAGACGTGGAAGAAAGCGAAAAACTACCATTGGAATCGATAGAAGAATAGCCAAAATTTCAAGGCCAACAATCGGCTGCAGGAAGATCAAAGAAGGTCTGACATTACCTGTGAGTACTGTTACAATTAGAAGACGCCTATGTGAAGCCAAGCTATCTGCAAGAAGCCCCCTCAAAGTCCCACTGTTGAAAAAAAGACATGTGCTGAAGAGGTTACAATTTGCCAAAGAGCACATTGACTGGCCTAAAGAGAAATGGCGCAACATTTTGTGGACTGATGAAAGTAAGATTGTTCTTTTTGGGTCTAGTGGCCGGAGAAAGCAAAATCTTCAAACATTTTTCAGTTTATATAGTGAATGTTTGAGTTTGTAAAGAAGAATATAAACACTGCTATTTTTTTGAACAGTCTAATATTCACTTTTCTTCAATTTTTTTTTAGAGGAACAAATTTGATCTATTTTTCTTCATGTTTTGATTTGGAATAGAATGTGTAGTGTTCCCAATGCATTTGTGTTTATGGAAATAAAAGCTATTAGAAGGATTTTGAGCTTTATTCACTTTTTTCAACACACTGCTATTATTTTGAAAACAACTACACTCACACACACTAGGGCTAATTTAGACAGGAGCCAATTCACTTACTAGCATGCATTTGGAGTGTTTAGAGGAAACTGGAGTATCCAGAGGAAACCCATGCAGGCGCAGAGAGAAAACAGGCAAACTCCAGGCAGGTAGTGATGTGGTTGGGTTTCAAACTAATGACACGCAGGTAGGCAGAAGTGCTAACCACGTAGCCATTGTATTCTCTACAATTAAAATTCCTTCTTTGCTTCACTTAAATAAGATGTACACCCTAACTTAATTACATTTAGTTGGCTAATGCACTGTGTATCAGTACACCATGGCAACAGTGGGCATTGCTTGTCTAGTGGGTGTTGAAACTCAACTGGAACCTAAGGTGACAATGCAAGAGCACAGTTGGGAGAGGGAGACCAAGCAATGTTACCCTATAATGAGAATTGCCTGAACCAGGCTCCTAATGGCTGCCAGTATTATGCCAATTGCTATATACTTTTGGGGTTCATAATGCAGAAGAGCAACACAAACGTTTAGAAATTCAGGAAACTAAAAAGCTTCTGTAGAGTTAAAGCTGGGGAATGTAACAAGTGAGAGGATTCTCCTTACAGCTCAGATATTTCAACAAATGAGACTTTTCTACTCAAGCACAATGTTCTGGAGTCATGCTGTGTTTATGGTGTCTATTATTGCACACCATCACATTTGCAAAAACAGTACAGAGAAAAAAGTATATTTGCTTCTTGAATGCTACAGCTTGTGGTCTGAATTTCATTTGCCTTCTACTATATCTGATGCCTCTCAAACAAAAACCAGTACCTGTGTGTAAAGTAGATGCTTACAGTCATTTTGAATTACTTTTTTTTTTCTCTCTCTCTCTCTCTAGGAATATCTCAAAAACAAAAGGAACCTGACCATAGTCATGAAAGGTTATCCAGCATGGCTGGAGGAGGAAATGACTTCGCCACTCTGCTTTACATTTTTGAACACTGCAAATCTATGTGAGTAAAGTCAAAAACCTACTATGATTTCAAAATATTTTTTCAATATTAATTACAGGCACTTCTAGAGGGGATGACGATTTATGCAGTGCTTTACATTGTGTATATTCACATCATACAGACCGCTTGTGGAATTATAGCAGCTGTCCTGAATATGTGGCTCAGTGTGTAACTGGTTTCCATAGAGCCCCCCAGGTTTTGGTTTTGATTTGTAACCACTTGCAGACCCGCTAACATACATGCACTATATTGTTAAAAGTATTGGGACAGTGTCCCAATACGTTTAGCAATATAGTGTATCTGTTATGGGCTTCAAGTGGTTGTACTGGGATGATGTCTGCACCTGCATGCATCATCCTGGTATCAACTGGCGGACTTTTTTTTTTTTTTTTTTTTTAAAGCCATCTGAGCTGCTGATTAGCTGCTGGATGGCTTTTACAGGTGGTGGGAGGTCCCCTCCTGCTTCCCGCCAGTGCCTCTCTGGGATCTCCATCCCACTGGAGTTCCTGAAACTGGCTTAACATAGGACCATTAGTGGACCAGAAGGTCTCTGATCACCTCTGACACAGGAAACCGGAAACGACTAGTACTATTATCTCTTCCAGGTTCCCATAAGTAAACTGCATCATTTATAAAATGGCAAAGTATCTGATCACATCAATTTTGATGTGATCAAATGCTTTTCGGGAAGAGGAGAGGTCTAATAGACCCCCTATCTCTCCATAAAGAGTACCTGTCTCGCCGCCTATTGCTGTCACAAGGAATGTTTATATTTTTTTTTATCACTTTTATTGCTGTCACAAAGAATGTAAAGAAACCATGTAAAAAGAAAAAGAAAAAAAACCTTTTACATCCTATGATGTACTTTTTGTGTGGTGGAGAAACAGTGACTACCTTTTGCTGTGGCAGAAAGTGAGGGAAAAGCTCAAACATCAAAGCAAGGCAAACCGCAATACAATCTGACAGAGTTTTAGCCATTTCTCCTTCTGTCTAAACATTACTATGATTTTTATTGAACTCACTGACTCCATGCAGCATTTGCATAATTTTAAGATGTGACATAAGAATGTGGCCTACAGGGATGCTGTTTGCTCATTGTGCAATATTTAAAAAACTGCAACTAAGCAGGTCTAACTGTTGTAATGTTTTGTAAGCTTTTCCTTAGAAGCTAAGTAATACTAAGAATGCTGCTGTTTTATATGGTGCAAGAGCTGAGCTCTAAAGTACTTGTAACATCCTTTATAAAGCTGTATTCCCTCTGTGTCATTTGTAGAAAAAGCCTTCTATTAGGTGTCTAGCTGTACATAAAAGAAAGGAAGTAATCCTTCTTCGGGAACATTCCACGTTTACATGGCTACCTAAATACAGAGAAATCAATGTAGTTTTCTGAAAAGAAGAAATATAACTTATGAGAGAGATTAATATTTAAAGTGAACCTGTGCTTTTATGTAAACGTCACACAACCTTCCCCAGCTGATCCTACTTGGTCTTCCTGCACCCTCCTCCCTCACACTGTTATTTACACATGTAGAGCTAAGGCCTACCATAACTTATGAAGTTAGTGTCACTATTACAGTTACACTGTACATCAGAACTTGAAAACTTCACTAAAGCTGGCTTGTTGACCTTATCAAATGTCATAGACCTAAAAGCTAAACAAATTTTAATTTACCACAATAGACTGTCTGTATGTAATATTATTCATTAACTGATCTGGATTTGAAACTTGACTTATCAGTTCTCCTTTTTGCATGTGCATACTGTATAACATGAAAAATGAGATGTGCATTAAAAGAGGATGGCATGCAAAACAACATGGCTTTAAGGTCTTTGTCATGTATCTGCTTTTTTGTTTTCTAGATGCACTTGTTGAAAGTCAAAATAAAGGTCCATAAAAATTTTGGCCTATAATAAGAATCTAAGCCTGTCGACTAAACAGTATAGTAGCTGTTATTTGATTGATCTACTGTATAAATACTTCCCCATTCACATCCTTTAATTATAGTACTGAGTTAGCTGCTCTCACCTCCTGTTAAAGGATTTGCAGCATTCATCATGCAGTTTGTTATCAAGTAAAGAATCTTGGGGTATTCACACCTTAACCACTTCAATACCGGGCACTTTTACCCCCTTCCTGCCCAGGCCAATTTTTAGCTTTCAGCATTGTTGCACTTGAATGACAATTGCGCAGTCATGCAACACTGTATCCATAAAAAATATTTTTTTTCATACAAATAGAGCTTACTTTTGGTGGTATTTAATCACCACTGAGTTTTTATTTTTTGCCAAATAAAAAAAAAAAAAACTTTTGAAGGAAAAAAAGTCTTTTTCTTTGTTTCTATTTTGCAAATAACCTTTCTTCATAAATTTAGGTCAAACTGTATTCTGCTACAGTTCTTTAGTGAAAATAACCCAAATTGGTGTATAATATTTAGGTAAGAAAGTTAGAGTCCACAAACTATGTACTATATACTATATATATCTGACAATCGATCAATCCTGATGTACTGATGGCCAATCTCATTTATTGAGGCCCAAAAAAGCCAGGATAGTACAAATACCCTCCAAGTGATGCATTTTTCGAAAACAGACAGTCCAAAGTATTTAGTAAGAGGCATGGCAGTTTTTTTGAAGTTGTGATTTTTTTTTTTTTCTTTTTGACACACTTTTTTGGTAATAAGGAATTAAAAAAAAAATCACTTTTTTTTTTTTCCAGTCTAATGCAGCGTTTTCATATAACTGGTGTGGTGATAATCAGGGACACTGACTGGTGACAGTATGTTTGAAAAAAAAATTAAATTTTTTTATTACAATTTATTTTTTATTTTTTCAATACACTGTGACCAGAGCAATACAATGTTACCATAGTAACATTGTACTACTCTGGGCAAGTGATCAGGGTTTTATGCCTTATGATTGCTTATGCCAGGGGTCTCCAAACTTTCTAAACAAAGGACTAGTTTACTTTCCTTCAGACTCTGAGGGGGCTGGACTGTGGCCAGTGAGAACAGAAAAAGCCCTGGTAGTAAACAATGCCCCATCATTGGTATTCATAAGAGGAATATTGCCCTATTGTTGGTATGAAGGAATCGTGCCCCATCATTGGTGTCAGTGGGAAGAGGAGTGCCCTGCTATTGGTGTCAGTGGAAGGAATTATGCCCCGTTGTTGGTGTCAATGATAGGAATAGTGCTTTGTATTAGTGGGAGGAATAGTATGCCAAGGGCTGGATAAAGGCAAGCAAAGGGTTATATCCAGCCCCCGGGCCGTAGTTTGGAGACCACTGGCTTATACCAATGTATTTCATTGATATTTGCAACCATTTTACTGAATGAAACTGATTCATTCAGTCTTTTGTTGTGATTAGCTGTGACTGGCCAAAGCTGATCATATGGTACAGATGGGCTGTGATTGGCCCTGTCTGTACCATGTGACTGCTGTGACCAATCGCTGCTAACAGAATTGTATACAATGGATGGCATGAAAGGAAGCCTTCCATTGTATAAATTGTCATGTGATCTGCTTCGATTGGTCACAGCAATCACATGACACAGGCAGCAAGCCAGTGCAGTGATCTGTCATCGGCTATGGACCACCACACTGGTGGCCATCACTAGTGTGACTTGGCCCTCAGGCTACTGTCAAACTTTTTATTACTACCCGTGTCACTGTTAGGGAGATTCACCCTTTGTGTTCCTGAGACAGAAAGTGATGGGAAATGAAAAATTTTAGAGCTCCCGAAATTCAAGGAATGAAGATAAATCATCAAATGGAGACAACTCTAATTCAGGAGAGATTTCCTGTTATTTCTGCAGGACAATATCTGAAGGTAAATCAGATAGGACACAAACAGAAAAAATAACCAAGTAGGGATTTTAACCTTCCCCTACTCTATCCACAACAAAAACACATTTACCTTTACATATACATTTATAATAAGAAAGAAAAAAGGCCAACTGAAGGCACATATCAAAAGGTAGTAGAATACCTTGTTAAAATGTACTTAATCCTTATTAAAGATCTTATTTTCTTTATTGAATTGTCAGAAATGGAATACAGTGCAGGCTCAGAACAGAGCGTATTATACCAAAGAAAGTGAGCTTTGCACAGTCAGAAGTAAAGAGAATGTAAACATGAAGGTTTTTAGTTTTTTCTTGGAAGGACACATACTACACATCTGGGTATGGAGGCACGGTATTGATAAGCCCATGAGGAGTCCTCCGTCTGTAAGCCAATGCACACCAACCTGAGAGCGGGGGAGGGGAGCTCAATAAGTATTCAGTAGGCTGAGCTATGTTAACAAAATAATTGAATATTTGACTGAAAGAAAAAACGGAAGGAGAGAGAGAGAGGTAGGGAAGGGGTAAGGGGAAGGGGATATCCCATGTTGTGGCCCGCCTGGCCGTAGTCAGTGGTTACAGGGAGAGAAGGAAGCGGTCAATGCTCAGGTGATCTATTTGCAACGTTTTTGACTTTCTTTTTATTGAATAATGAAATATTAATAGAGGTTTTACTTTTACAGTGATAGTCCTGCTTCATGGTGCCAAAAAAATTCAGTTCATTGGAGAGCTGTAAAAACTGCATTCAGTGTGGAAAAGCAGTTAAGAGACATTACAAATAAGCTCAAAGAGGTATGTTCTGTAGTTTTTTTTTTTTTTTAAATATCAATTGTTAAAAGTGTTTGTTTATTTTCATCAGGGATTCTTAAAAGACATAGCTCTCATATGTATTCTGACTTATTTGTTGTTAACTTTAAAAGTCTGCTTTAAAGGGAATGTATATTGATTTAAAAATATAAATACTGCTTATGCGTATGAAATGTTGTTGCTTACAAATATTTTATTCTTTTCTCCAGCCAGCAATGGAGCTTAACTACCTGCCGACCGCAGATAGCCGAATGATGGCTTCACTGCGGCCGGCCAGTTCTGAGTGGACGTCCTATGACGTCCTCCCAGAACGCGCTCTCCTGCGCTCCCCAGGGGGCGCGCACCCTGCGATCTCCGTGATCGCTGTGTCCTACGGACACAGTTGATCACGTGATGTGGTAAAAGGCCAGTCACAGCGGCCTTTTACCACGTGATCAGCGGTGTCCAATGACACGCTGATCAGAGGGAAATGCAAGTGCTGGTTCTCGGCTGCATTTCCTCACGCTGTCAGATCGTGAGGAAAGTACTGCCGAGAACCGGCAGTTGTCAGAGCGGGGATCGGCACCGATCATCAGGGCACTGATGATCAGTGCCCTGATGATCGGTGCCCAGCAGTGCCACCCGCAAGTTCCGCCCACCTGTGCCCAGCAGTGCGCCCACTAGCTCCGCCCACCTGTGCCCAGCAGATCACCCACCTGTGCCCAGCAGTGCACCCACCTGTGCCCAGCAGTGCACCCACCTGTGCCACTCTGCAGTGTCACACACCTGTGCCCAGAAGTGCCACCTACCTGTGCCCACCAGTGCCCACCCACCTGTGCCACCCACCTGTGCCCACCAGTGCCACCCACCTGTGCCCACCAGTGCTGCCCACCAGTGCACCCACAGTGCAGCCCAGCAGTGCTGCCAGTCAGTGCCCAGGGGTTGTGCCAGTCAGTGCCGCCAGTCAGTGCCCAGCAGTGATGCCAGTCAGTGCCGTCTATCAGTACCCATCATCAGTGTCACCTATCAGTGCCGCCTATCAGTGCTGCATATTAGTGCCGCCTATCCGTTACACCTCATTAGTGCTGTCTATCAGTGCCGCCTATCCGTGCCACCTCATTAGTGCCGCCTATCAGTGCCCATCAGTGCTGCCTCATCAACGCCCATCAGTGAAGGAGAAAAAATACCTGTTTGAAAAATTTTATAATAGAAACAAAGAAACTTTTTTTTTTTTTTTTTTAATTTTTTGCACTTTTTTTATTTATAGCGCAAAAAGTAAAGCGCCCAGTGGCGATTAAATACCACCAAAAGAAAGCTCTATTTGTGAGAAAAAAATGATCAAAATTTCATATGGGTACAATGTTGCATGACCGCGCAATTGTCAATCAAAGTGTGCAGCGCTGAAAGCTGAAAATTGGCCTGGTAAATAAGGGGGTATAAGTGCCTGGTAGGCAAGTGGTTAAAGCTCACTGTGTTTGTTTTCTCTGCTTTCCATCTTGTAAAGAATGCTTGTGCTGCGTGGGTCCTGGATGGGAGGTATATTTTCCTACTATTTGGGTTGTGGTCCCTTTAAGTGGGATGATAGGAACATAGTTTTAGTACTCGGGGTTCTCACCCTTGCACTATGTGGGTTTCTAGGGAAGACTAGTCAGAGAGGAAAGGACTGATTTACAGTACCCTCTAGAGTGGTAAGTCCTTATTTAGGACCCCAAATTCAGAGATGCAGAGAGACTTTGGTTGGCGAAGATCCTCCAAGCCTTGATTACAGGGACTTTGGTCCCAAAAGGGTTAACCTGCATCAAGGGAAGGCCTGAAAGAGAACAGGAAGGAGTCAGCACCTGTCGGTGAAAAGGAGTGGAATAATGCACAGCTGATTTCATGGGGCATGAGAGATGCACTCTTTGGAGAGATCTGAGGTCTATTAGACCCCAGATCTTTCCTCTGCCCTCTAAAGCAGCCAAGCAAATTGAGATTGGTAATAATGGCTTGTAAACAAACAAACTGAAAACAAAAGTGACTAAATCCTCATTGCTTCCAGTTTCTGACATAACAGAAGAGGGGAAGGAACTTCTGTTCATTCCACTCTTCACAGTGCACCTGATGCAACTGGTCGCATTGGTCCCAGGCTCCTTGGTGGGATGGGATAGCCCGAGAAAGTCAGCAGGCAGCAACTGGAAGGTTGGTGACCCCCTTCCACTACCTGTAAAAGTGATCAAGCTGCTGTATAGCCACTCAGATCACTTTTACCAGATAGGGAATCGCCTGCTAAACAAAACCGCAAACAAGGATCATAGTTGTAGCTGCAACCATGATCTTGGTATAACCACCTCAATACGAGGATATGGATATTGTATGCAAAGATTTCTTTATTTTTCTATTTCCAACATTATGGCTGTGTTATATGCATTTTTGTATTATAGTTTAGACGATAGAATCTTGCCTCTGGTGTTTTGTTTTTTTTTAAACAATAAAGTTTATTACGTTTTTTTTCAAGGAAAAACAGATCCAATATGCATTAATAAGCAATAACGCCTTGTTGACATCCCCAGTGACTTTTGCTCCTAAAGGGAATCCATATGCATGGACAACAAGTGTAAAGAAGTTAAGTTGATGACTCCATAAATCACTCATAGTGCTTGTTTATTTATTCAGATGAAGGACTTTCCCATTGAAAAGATTGATCTTCCCAGGAATGAAAAAATCATACGTTGTCTTTGTGCTGGTTTCTTTTCTAATGTTGCCAGAAGGTAAGTCAGATATTCTTTGGTATAAAGAAAAGTGTCCAAAAGGAAAGTGCCTGCATTGCCCATAGTATTTAAAGGAAGGAATGTGGTTGCTCTGGGCATTTACATCAATTTTTCCTTTCGCACAACTTTTATAAAAATGACCAATTATTGACTGCACAATAGCTTATGTCACTGGGCTTGTCAATGAATAAATACGTGCATATTGGTACTCACCATACTGGTACTTTACATATTAGAAGTGAAGCTTAGTAAGAACTTTCATATTGGAGGACTCACAAACCACAAAACATACCAGTTTGCTTATCTATAATTGTGATGTGAATACACCACTCCATAATGCTACTAAAATTGGTGATAATTAAATCACTTAAAAGTTAGAATTCAGTTTTTGATGCAGTCGTTCAGCAATTGTTAAATTTTGCAACAAGGCTGCTCCTTATTAAAGACTTTAATCTAAGCCAGAACCCACATTTAGACTCATCTGGAAGATCACAATTGTCAAGTGTAGCACTGAGACATTTTCAGAATCCCTATCTAAACTTAGATTAGTGGACTGTTGGTTTATTACACACGCATCAGACAGAGACTATACATTCTTTCCTGCAGTGCGTCAGTCATATTCTAGGTTGGATCTTTTTTCAATCCTCCCCATCGCACTCTTGGATCATGCCCCAGTGTTGTTGCGTTTAATGATGCCCTGTGTAGTCCCCAGTGAGTGGACTTGGAGGTTGGATGAATCTCACCTAAATGATGGATGATTTCAGGTGAAATCACTTCCATGCAATGAAATTATTTTATAGAAAATGCTCAGCAGGGGCTACCTGAGAGCATGCTGTTGGAGGCTTACAAAACAGTGCAAGGGAGGTTATCTTTCAAGGAGCCTTTCTCAAATGACAGCTTCAAGCTGACTTAAAGTTACTTTCACAAATTTCAAAGCTGGAACATCTTCATAAAAGATTCCTGGATCCATCTTATAGGGCTGAAATTGAAACCGCTTCGAGCTGACCTAAGATATTTCCAAAGTCTCAAAGTTTTTTTTACCTTTATTGTATGCATGAAGGTAAAAAAAAACCTTCTGTGTGTAGCAGCCCCCCTAACACTTACCTGAGCCTCATCCCAATCCAGTGATGTCCACCAGAGCCTTGGTTCTCTGGAGACCCTCACTCCTGATTGGCTGAGGCAGCAGCGCGAGTTATTGGCTTCCGCTACTGTCAATCACAGCTAGTGAGCCAGTCAGGAGAGGGATGGGAGGGGCCACGACACGGCTGTGTGTGAGTGAATGGACACATAGAGCCTTTGGCTCGCTCGGGAGCGTGCTGCCTGCTCGGGTGCCCCCTTAGCAAACTGTTTACTATGGGGGCACCTGACGGGAGGGAGGGGCCAGGAGCAGCAACGGAGGACCCAAGAAGAGGTGAATCCAGGCTGCTCTGTGCAAAACCAATGCACAGAGCAGGCAAGTATAGATATATTTTTGTTATTTTTAAGGAAAAAAAAAAACTTTAATGTCACTTTAAAACAAAAGATTGAGTCTCCAGTTCAGCGCAGATATATATCTTGGCGCACCAATTTTATGAAGAGGGGAATAAATATGGATGTATGTTAGCATGGGCGCTCCAAAAAAATTGTTAATCTTTATATCCCACCCCTCATATCCTGTACAGGTGAGAATGTGTAAAAACCTGTGCAGATAGCATAGATAATATGCAAATCTTTATAACCCTCGAGGAAGGATTGACCAGCAGAATATTAGGCATAAGAAAATACAATACTTGGGCCTGTCCCTGTCTCCACTATTACCACCAGGGGTGTTCCCGATGTTCACTCCTGGGGAATGTCTTTCTTTAGCAGCTGAGGAGGATCAGGGGAGATTAGGAGCTTTTACTTTAAAGTAGCACAGTGGCTAAATGGTTAGCACTTCTGCCTGGCATAACTAGTGTCATTGGTTCGAATCCCAACCAAGGAACCGCCTGCCTGGAGTTTGCATGTTCTCCCTGTGCCTGCGTGGGTTTCCTTCGGGTACTCCGGTTTCCTCCCACACTCCAAAGATATGATGGTAGGTTAACTGGATCCTATCTAAATTGGCCCTAGTATGTGTATGTATGAATGTAACTTAGGGACCTTAGATTGTACGCCCCTTGAGGGTTAGGGACTGATGTGAATGTACAATATATATGTAAAAAGCTGAGTAAATTGACGGCGTGATATAAGTACCTGAAATAAATAAACAAGTTCCTGTTTTGAGAACCTTTGAGTCCTTGTGAGGGTTGTGGGGACCTTCTGTCTTGGATACGTGGAGACATGAGAGAAGGATCTGGGTAAGATGATTCCAGAAAGCACAATTTTTAAGATGATTATGCTAACCCATACGTACTCTATACATTCTAAAACACGAGAATCTTGTTATAAGCTATTATCAAGATGATATATATATATATATATATATATATATATATATATATATATATATATATATATATATATATATTATATTATATATATATATATATATATATATATATATATAGGGTTCCAGCAAACTTGGCTCTGATATATCCTTTAGTTGATGCAGGATGTTGGAGGGGTACATTTTTACATCAGTGCTGTGAGTGTCCTTATATTAGAACCTTCTGGCAAGAGATGAGCAGGTTGATAGCAAAAGCTTTACAATACAACCTTCAAGAGGGCTCCCTTGTAGTCCTGTTTCATGCTACTCTGATGTCAATCGGAATATACAAGATTCTCCTTTTAAATACTGCACAAAGCTTGATTCCATTATTATACAAACAAATCACTGCCCCAACAATGAAAGATTTAAATTTGATTTCTGTATAAATTTATAGTGAATGTTTATTCATTTTAGTTATCCAGCTTGCGTATTAGGGCAGTGGGAACAATGAGAATGACTAGACTGTTGTGGCCTATATCAACTAATTTGATATTCATTTCTGCAGTAAGATAAGGGAAAAGTGATTTCTGGTTGTTTTCTTTGCCCTTTTGTTTAATTTACATTGTGAGAGCATTTTGCTTGTATAGGTCAGTAGGAAGAACATTCTGCACAATGGATGGAAATGGAAGTGTGGTGCACATCCACCCTTCATCAACTGTGAGTATTTGAAATAAAGATTTGTATTTTCTATAAACCCAATAAAAATTATTAGATTACAAGAGGTTGTAAAAAGTTTCATCAGTGACGCGACAATGAACAAAGGCAAAGAGATCAATTATTGCATCTTGTGCTTATTAGAGCAAATCGAGAGGGAATCAAGAACTGTGATTCAGGAGCAGAAGCTCCTCAAAAACTATTATCCCAGTGAAAAAAAAAGGATGGAGGGGAAGGGTCAATAGGAAGAGGAAGGGGGTAAAGGGATAGGTGATTTGGTTTGTGCTCCATAACAGTTTAACCATTTTTTTGTTTGTTGAAGAACATTTAGAGTGAGTGTAGACAATTGCGTGAGTGGTAATGTGAACACTTTGTCCAGATGAGCAAGTCTGAAGAAGAGAGAAAAGAGAATGACTGTCAACGGGAAAATACAGCTAGTAGGGGAGGGAGTTCAGGGCAATGTATTGGGGATCCCTATCCCCCAAATATCAGACGGTTCACAAGGTTGCCAGGGTCTTGGCAGAAAGCAGTGGATGAGAATATTGGATCCACAGGCCCCACACTCAGAGGGACCTACCATAGGTATCTGAGAGAATACTACTCATTTTTTGTTTGTGAACAAATCATCAATGCATCTTCTAACCTTGGTAAATTTTGAAAATGTGTTTTTTCCATGCAAGAGCTATTGTGAATTTTGAAGCTAGCAATATAATACTAGCTAGTGTAAATTGAGTTTTTGAAACGCAAAAGTGTTAGCCGTGGATCTTTTAGGCTTATGAGTATCAACCAGTCTTTTCAAAAGGTTGAAGTCCTAGACCAGCACTGGACAAGTCCACCAGGTATGCAGAACATCCTTGATAGTCTTACAGCCTCTAAAGCAATAGGTTGAAAGCCTTGCATGTAGATGTGCTTCTTTTGAGGTTACTAAGCTCCACCTAGTCAAGATCTTAAGGTCAGATTCAGAAGTAGTGACGTTATTAGTGCTTGTGGTAATTGCAGACCACGTTTTTGTCCTATCTTTCTCTGCCTTAATGTCCATCATTTGGTGAAATGGGAGTGTGTGTTTGGGAGAGGGGGTTAAATGGTTAAATGAGAATAAAATATAGAGATACGGTTAGGCGATAGAAGTGTGTAATTACACGTGTTTTGAAAGTTGTGAGTTTGGACGTGAGGTCGTATTTGAGCTGCCTAATAATGAAAATAAAAATCAGTAGAAGATTTATCCCTGACCATTGACCAAATAAGGATTGAGCCTTTCTCAAGAAGGGAATAGGCAGTGGTAAAAGCATGACTTGAGGGCAAAATCTCAAAATTCACTATCCCAATGACAAAAAAAAAATGATGGAGGGAGGGTAGAAATTTTTAAGGCATGAGGCATCAAAGGGCTCATTGTGTTTGGTCTTCATCTTTGTGGAATCCAAGGAACAGCTCTCATATTTATAGGTAGTCAGAGATAGCATTCCAATTCCACCCAGAAGGATGTCTTCCCAGATGCATATAATGTGAATATAGTGATTTGGGCTGCCTGATTAACATTTAAAAAATTTCTGGACCTCAAGCTTCTCCTGGCGCTTATGCATGTACATAGTTTGCCTGGATGTCCTTGGTCGTTTATTATTCCATATAAATACCATGACATGGTTTTGAAATGATTTAATAGTGAAAGAGGAGACTGGAATAGAGAGAGTACGTACGAGATACAGGAGTTTTGGTAGTATGTTCAGTTTAATTCCATTGATTTTTGCCCTTCTATAAAATATGATACATCCAAGATGTTATTTTTAGTGGATGGTCAGGATATAATTAGCTAATATAGATCAGAATATGTGGGGGTTAATTAATTACTGAGATATTCCAGTTTGTTTTTTTTTCTTTCAACCCTGGTGGAACTGAAACTAGCTTTAAGTGTTTCCAGCTCCTGGTTAGGCAAAGAAACATTAAGAGCACTAGACTTTTCTTCATTCACTGACCAGCTACAGACCTGGGAAAACCTCAGGATGTACAGTTAATTAGGTAGAGATATGAGTGGCAAGGTTGAAGCCTTTCTCAATAGGAAAGGGAATAGAAGATGATTCAAGTATTTAACGTTAGCATAGATATGAGTGTATTAATGGGGTATATACATAATTACTGATGTAATTTACCAGTTCATATTGTATTGCAAATGATATATGCATCCGTGCAGCTGATATGCCCAAGCAAAGCTAGATCCAACATGGTAAAGTGCACTTGTGCAGGACAAAACAGGCCCAGTTTAATGTTGGCCCTTGCAGCAACTTGTACTCTCCTACAATGTACTATGTAACATAGCCATGTTGGTGTATGCCATTTGGCAATTTAGGGACCCAGTCCAAAATTGTGTCATGGTAGGGGTGAAAGACAACTAAATAAAATCTGTAAAATGTGGCTGGAATTTTATTTGAACAATGAATGTAAAGTCACGTTAAAAATTACTTAAAATGGTATTAAACTCGCTCATTTAAAATGTGCTGACAGGTAGGATAGTAGGATAGATGACTGGTACCAACATCCTTACACATATCTTTGAACCATCCCAAAATAAAGAACTGAGACTTTAGGGGTACAGAAACATACATTTTATAAAAGCATAATGTATTTCAGAAGCCTAGCTAAAAACTCTATATATTATATAGTTAACGTGTTACTAAACCCACAACTGTAAAATCAGTCTATATATACAGTAAAGCATTCCTGTTAAACTCACTGTGGAGCCTAAGGGGTTAATCCTCTGCATTGCGTAAAAAGGATGATGGATCCTGTCTGTTCTCTGATCCTCCTTTTCTTACAGTGTCTCCCTCTTATCTCCTTATAAGACATATTATGTAGAGACACTGCACATGTTTTTTTTTTTTTTTCTTGGGAGAGTGCATGTGATCAGCACAGGGCCAATCAGCACTGTGCAGACAGAGGTCAGAGGTTCTACATCCTCCTAGAGAACTCCTCCTACAAGCTTTAACCAGTTCTCTGCTGATCACTGATAGACTGCTCTAACTGCTGATGAAAAAAAGGTATTTAGCAGTTGATACTGTATTTACTAAAATAATTGCATTTCCATGTTCTGTGTATTGTGGGAGACCAGATAGAGTGAATGCACGGTCCTGGGTTTAGTAACACTTTAAGGCTGGTATTGTAAGCATTTTGTTTGCTGCACCAAAAATCACATTTGACCTTTACCCATAACACATTTACAGTATCCAGCATTAGCGGTTTCATCCTTTTTAGAAACATTTATTTTTTCATTGGTACATGTTCTCTGGGGCAGTTCCCCACCCCCAATGCTATTTTTTTTTTTTAAAATTCAGCCCACCCACCCCCCTTCCTTGCTTGCTGGCCCAGAAAATTGGCATTTTTAATTTGAGAGAAGTTCACCGAACCATGCTCAAACTGAACCCAGGGCAGTTTGGCTCTTCACTAGCATTTTAATGAAAAACTCATTTTGAATGGCCCAGATATTTGTTCTTGTTATGAATTATTCTTAAATGTTTTACAAAAGGATTACAAGATAACAATCATCTGTTCTATAATATATCAGTAGTGTGAAGACCGATTTATAGGATCTTAGTGGGGCACAGTATTTTAGTCTTTAACTGTGGGTTTTATACAGCTACTTTCAGGTGATTGGAGACTTGCAGAAAAAAAGCTGCTGGGACATAACCTATATAACCCCTTCCACTGCCAGCTAGCCTCAGGTTTTTTTTGTTAGTTTCCTTCGGTGCTGAACCTCTGCACTGAGAAAAGCTGTTTAAATTTGGCACCAATTTTTGCCTTTGGTCTGGTGCAATTCTGTTGCATCTGGTGATCCTGCCTACGTAGCCTCTTTCTTAGCCACTTCAGAGAACTGCCATTTTCCTTCTGTGGACATGCTTCTACCTAGCCAGCACAAGCAATCCAAGGCCCCCTCAGTGCTGGACAGCAATGCCTGTATACCTACTTGGGTGCAGCAGCTTACAGTGCCTGACCCAGAAGACTAACTCTCCCCTTCCCACAACAACAGAGATTACTCCTCTGGGGACACTTTTGCATTGCAAATGTCAGATCACAAATGTATGGGTAAGGAGTCATGTGGCATTGCTAAGATTTAGCGTATGGCTCGGGCAGGGGGGATGGTGTAGTCTAGTACCCTCTGTTCTTAGTTACCCCAGTCTGATTACTTCTGTGAGCACTCCAAGGGCCCTTCATTTTACTTATCTAGGTAGGAATTTGCTGTCATAATGTCCGATTTCATGGGTCAAATTCCAGTCCTGTTGAAAACAGAGGTCACAAGCGAGTGCCTTCGGTCTCCCCTCCTGGGTGAATCTGTAACTTGGTTGAAGACGCGTTGGGAGAGATTTAATAAAACTGGTGCACTCAGATTCTGGTGCAGCTGTGTATGGTAACCAACCTGCATCTAACTTCAGCTTGTTCAATTAAACTTTGACAATAAAACCTGGATGCTGATTGGTTTCTATGCAGAGCTACACCAGATTTTGCACCATGCAGTTTTAGTAATTAAACCTCTTTGCCTGATGAAAAGGTAGATGAGGAAGATTCTCACTCTCCTTCTGAGAAATCTGATCAGGATTAGACTCCTCCAGCTAAAAATTTCTTCCAAGCTTAAAGTGAAATTCCAGTCATACCGTAGCTAAGCCCAAATCTACTCCCACCCCCATTTTAAGACTATTATTAATATTATACAGGATTTATATAGCACCAACAGTTTACTCAGTGCTTTAAAGCTATTCTATCTACCCTGTAAAAGGAAAGCTGCTTATACTTGCCTATTCTGCTATTCTGAAGCCACTCCAGTCCAGTCACATGGTCGGCCTCCATGTAGAGGACAACAGCTTCAGAGCCTGGGCAATGACGTCACCCATTGGCTTACTATGGGGCATCCATTGTCGTTGGTCCCTCCTGTACACTGAAGCCAGCCATGTGACTAGACCAGAGCAGCTTCAAAAAAGGTAAATATAGGCATATTTTCTTTTACAGGGTAGATAAAATAG